TTAAAAAAAATTCTTTAAAATAATTAAATTCCTGTGGAAAATTTAATAAATTATGAAAATAATTGTGAAATATTGCTAAGAATTTTATTAAAATTTTCGAAAAGAATTGAATTTTTTGGAGGAATTTAATTGAAATTTATTGTATTGAAAATTTTTCAATTCTCACAAAGCATTTAATAAAATTTTTCAAAATAATTTGAATTTTTGCGAAGGATTTTGTCAAATTTTTAAAAATAATTGAATTCTTTTGGGAAATTTAATTGAAATTGTAGGGTAGAGTGCGGATAGATGCCTCCCAATTCGAAAATTACATCTAAATTCAACAAATATTAATATTTTTAGTTGACTATTCGATTTTTACACACTATTACTATTTATCATTAACATATATGTAAGGACCAAATACCTACAATAAATAATTAATTAATCAGAACGAAAATACAAAAGGTCTGCATTTGGCCATATATCCCACCTGGGTGGGTAAGACGCCCCCTGCGGTAAGTTATTATTATTTATTACAATAATTATTATAAAAAATGGAAAACGCCGATCTAATACGTTTCTCTGATTAATTTGAAACAAGAAAATAATTGCAAATATTTTCTTATACGTGTTAAATATCCTTGATTCTTGTAATAAGGAATTTTGTCCAGCAGTTTGAAAATTTTTGGGCATTTTCAGCAATCTGAAATTTTTACATTATTATAACTAATAACCCCGGGGTGCCAGCGAGCTGGGACTTTATAGTAAAATTGTTATGGCCAATAGGTATATAAAAAAACTAATAATCCATAAATATAGTTTCTTTCATATTGGAGATCTGAGAAAAAGGGGGCATCTATCCGCACTTAACCCTATTGAAAATAATTGAATTCTTTCGAAGAATTTTATAAAAAAAATTTTAAATAATTTATTTCTTTGAAAAAATTTAATTTAAATTGTATAGATAATAATGAAATTTCTTCAAAGAATTGTATTATTTATAATAATAATTGAGGGGCTGAATGCTATAACGTGTTACGCGCCATTCACTTAACATAGCGCGTAACACATTATAGCATCCAGCCCAGCCCCTCAATTGGAGTTTTGCTCGGAATTTTATTATTTTTTTTATCCAAGTCAAATATTAAAATAATAAAAACACAATTTTAACGTTTCGACAGCCCTGCTGTCCTCACATCAGAAACGTGAAATAATTAGAAATTTTTAAATTTGCGCGAACAACTCTATTATTTTCCTTGATGTCCTTGTCAGTAGACAAAATAATACCTTAATACACGAGTCAACTTAAGCCGGTCGTGTTGATCGCGCAAATTTTGAAAATTTCTAATTCCTATTTTACGTTTCTGATAAGGACAGTGTATTTATTATTTTAATATTTGACTTGGAGGAGAGGATAATTTTTTTGATATTTTCCAAAAAAAATTGAGAAAATTGAGTTTTGAAAAATAATTTATTTATTTCATTTAAACGGGTTGACAAAGAAATTACAAATTATAATATACAAATAATAATTTATTAGTTAAGAAGTTTTTAAATTTTTAAATTTTGAATCTGATAAGTATAATTTAAAAATTGAATTTAATATTTTAAAATGAAAAAATTTGAAATTTGCATAATAATAATAATATTTATAAAAGAATCTCCGTTTTTCGTGCTATTATAGTATTTACAGTTAAATATTTGCTTTATTAATCGTATTTGTAATATTTGCAGGATTTTACACTCTGGAAAATTTTTGTACCAATCAAGAAATGGTTTCTTTTCACAATGTCTATTCAGTTCGCGAAAAAAAAACTGTTTCTTCAGAACCAGAAAACAGAAAATTTGTAATTTCTGTAGAATTTTATCAATAAGTAAAAAGAAACATTTTCTCGAATGCAGTCAAAGATTATATACATATATAGGATCAAGTGTATTTTCAAATCAGTGTTAAATCTTTGTGAATAATTCACTCGATTTTGAGAAGATTTTACCTGATGATGATGTTGATGATGATGATGATGATGATGATGATGATGATGGAGGGGATGAGGATTACGATGTGAGAATGAAAAGGAAATAAAAGAGAGGAGGATTTTTTCTGGTTTCATGTTACGTCATTGTGCCTAGGTGAGCCCTGTAACATCCCATATCCCCAATGGGCAAACTCCAAACTGTTGGTGGTGGTAAAATGCATGTTCCTGCCCCTCGAATAAACCCACGCCTACAAACGTGCGCGTGCGTAACCCCAGGGGTCGTTTTCAAACGATCAAATGGTCCACGATCTAGATTTATTTAATTACACCGCCTCATCGCTTCGATTTAAGCGAGTAACCCACTTTTCTCCGTGTTTCAATTTCAAATCATTTTCTCACCTTAGAAACGGATTAATTGATTGGAAATTTTAATCCGAAGAAGAAGAAGAAGAAGAAGAAGAAGAAGAAGAAAATGTTCTTTTTATCTCTTTCTTTTTTCTAATATAGAACGAGAAATTGTTGCTTACGATGCAAAAGTTAGAAGGACATTGAGTCTTATCGTGTTAAATGAGATGTTCTTGTCTGTGGGAATGAGATTATAATCATATGTCGCTGCAAGATTTAATTTTAGATCCTCCAGGAAGTTTTTGGAAAAAATGTTCCACGTGCTGTGGTGGTTATTATATAGTTGTTGCTTTTTTATTTTTTGGTGATTATCTCATTGAAAATGGGCAATTAATTGTTAATTGGTGAATAATGATTATAACGCAGTAGGATTTTGTTGATATAAACTATAATAATGACATAAGGATGATTATTACGATGCAAGGTTTTGCAATAATTGAATGTAATTAGGTGCGTGATGACAGATGTAGCCTGGCTAGAGCATAACGTGGGGAGTGGCCTATAATTTATAAACAGGGGCTGTTTTGGGGTAATTGCAGATAACGATGGGGCGGACCGGATAACAAGCCGACATGGGAGTCACTGGACACCATGACACTCCACTGCGTAGACCCTGGTCCCTGATATCTATACACTTAGATGATGTCTCTCAATTATAATTTATCCCTCATACCGCATTTTTTACAATCTCGCACACACATCCCCCAATATCAATTTGTTATATTATAGATCAATCAATTCTACTAATTTCAATTTCCAATTTCAAAATATTAAATCAACCCTTATGAATTATAATAGTACCTATAATAAAAATATTCATAAACTTGGATTTATTTTTAATTATACGTGGTATTTAATTTATTATTATTATGCAAATTAAAAAAATTTTTTATTTTCAAATATTAATTTCAGTTTTTAAATAATTTCAGATTCAACAATTAAAAACAATCAATTATTAACTAATTTAATAATTATTAATGATTATTATTTATTGTTTTCAGATACTTTAATAAAATATATTCTACGCAGGAAAACAATTTATTATTTTCAATCAAATTTCTGAAAAGAATTCTTCTGAGTAATTTGATAAAATTTTTTGTAAAAATTAAAATTATTTTAAAACATTGCGATATTAATTCTTTTTGAGAATTGAAATATTTCCAATACAATTTCAATTAAACTCCTCGAAAAAATTTAATTATTTTCAAAAATTTATTCTAATAAAATTCTTGGCAAGATTTCAATTATTTTCATAATTAATAATATTCTTCGCAGGAATTCCATTATTTTAAAGAATTTAAATTAAATTCTTCTCAAAAATTTTGTTATAGCGATTTTGAGAAATTTCTATAAAATTCTTCATAAGAAAAAAATTTAATTTTATTCCTCGGAAAAAATCAATTATTTTCATAATTTTATTTTCATAATAGATTATTTATTATTATTATTATTATTATTATTATAAATTATTTATTAATAATTATTTTCATAATTCATAATCCAATTTTTTATGCATGCTATCATATAAATCTAATGTTCAGTACTGTGAATCCAAATTTAGATCGGTTTTTTTTGTTAAAAAAATAATTTTATTTCAGCAGTAGAATCATATATTAATAGGTAATAAATGATTGTTTAAATTAGATAGTGAATAGTATAAGAGTTTATATTATTCTTTTTCGACTACGTCTTGTTTAATTTAAAAAAGAATTATATAATTTTCCTTTATTTTTTGTTTCTTTTTTACCAATTTTATATTTATACGTTTAAAGATTTTTTGTAAAGATACCCATTAATTATTGATGGGCCTTATGGCCTGTGGGAAATGTATGATAAATAAATAAATAATGAATAAAATTCTTTACAAGAATTTCATTCTGTTTTAAAGAATTTTAACACCTTAACTGCGGATGACGAAGATTTTGGCCGTCAAATCTACGTCATCGCATATAGTTAAGGGTTAATGAAATTCTTCTGAAGAATTTTATTATTTAGAAAAATTTCAATAAAATGCTTCATAAGAAAAAAATTGAATTATTTCCCTGTAAACAATACAAATTCTTCGCAGAAATTCAATTATTTTCAAAAATTTTGATAAAACTCTTTATCTGAAGTTAAATATATTTTTTATATTATTTTAATTAACTTTCTCGTAAGAATTAACCTATTTTTAAAGATTTGAATTACATTTTTCACAAGAAATTTAATTATTTTGAAAAATTTGGATAAATTTTTTTTATATAAGAATTCAATTATTTACAGATTCAAAATTATAAAAGAAATAAATGAGAAATAATATAAAAGAAATATAATTAATTGAAAACAATTTATTTTAATTAATTGGTTCAGAATATCCAGAAATTTTTATTAATTCGAAGATCAAAAAAATTCAAATTCAGATGAAGTTTTCTTCGTAGAAATTTAAATAGAAATTTGAAAGTTTGTAGGAAATTTTAATAGAAATGTTAAAATTAAAATTAAATGTTAATAAAAATGTGGGTTCAAGAGATTGAATAAAAAATCCAAGTGAAAATTCGTTTGCATAAACATTTTTTCAAGTTAAATAAAAATTCGAATTAATAAAAAATCGGTTAAATTGAATTCCCCAGTTTTCTAAATTCTCTTCCTTTTTTTTAGATTGCTATCGGAAAAAAGATAGATGAATGGAAAAGAAAAAGGACGTGTGGGAAACTCGAGAGCAGGAAATCCGTTGATCGTTAATTTAATCTGCTTCTGGCCATTATCCGCAAAGGTGTCGAAGATCCAAAGATTAAGGAGAGGAATAATCATGATTCTTCTGGACACACACGAAAATTTTTCGACTACATATGTGAAATGTGCGATTTTGCGCATCGAGAGAGGGAGAGAGAGAGATCTCTTGATTCTAGACGCAGACAGGATGCTTGCTGAACGAACAATACGATTGGTTGGTGGCCATTGTTGGTAAGATTTCAATGGATATTACGACAATAAGCTATTGACAATGTGGAATATTGTTGGTACATATATGCGTTGCGCAAAGGGCGGAGGGTTCCTCTTGCGTGTGTATAAGCCTACTTGACTGTACTTTTCACGCCCTCTCTCCAGGGCTGTTTATATGAAGAAAAAAAATTATATTTTGTCATACGTGAACCCTCAATAACGTAAATATGTTTCTGCAACATCTGTCTTGTCATGTCAAAAATTTTCAAAAAATACACGAATTTTAATATCCGTTGGTGGCGAAAGATTATGAAGAAAAATAACTAAATTAAAAATACTAAATTAAGAAAAGTCAGTGAAATAAAAATATGGGGGAAGAAAATTCGTATTTTTAAAAAAAAGTCTCAAATATTAGTGAATTTTATTTTATATTATTTCCAATTTAATTTTTTCCAATTGTTTTATGCAGGGCTCGGATTGTGCGACTTTTTCGACTTTCTTCGACTTTTTTGTGAAAAAATGCGACTAATCGACTTTTTTGACTTTTTTTTTAGTAAAATGCGAATGAAATTTAAAATTTTTTTTTAAATTTAAAGGAAAAAGTTTGAGTCAAAAAAATGTTCTGTTACATTTATTTACAAATTTTTCGAAAACATCAATAACTTTTTTTTTAAATAAATATTTAATTATTATTTTTCCATAGGAATTAAAATTCTTCAAAAGATTCAAATTCAAACCTTTTTGAAAATAAATAACTTATAAAAAATTGTTATAAAACATAAAGAAATCGATCACTCCGAGTCTTCGACTCGGAGCAATCGATGTCTTATCATGTTTTATAATAATTAAAGATGACCGAGTGATAAAATCATTAATTTACCTATATTAAAAGACTTTATAAAAAAAAAATTTTAATTATTTTTTATACAAATAATTGAATTATTGGGAAGAAATTTATAAAACATTAGTAAGTAATTGAATTTTGCAGAAGAATGTTTGATATTTACAAAGATAATTGAATTTCTGTGAAGAATTTTTTTACTTTTGAAGATAATTGAATTTCGCAGAAAAATTTATCAGAACTTTTGAAAATAATTAAATTTCCAGGACGAATTTTATTATTTATGAAGATAATAAACATTTTAACGAGAAATTAAAAAAAAAATTTTGAAAATAATTTAATTTCTGCGAAGAATTTTATTACTTTTGAAAATAATTGAATTTCTAGGATAAATTTTATTATTTAAAAAGATAATTGAAAATTTGACAAGAATTTTATTAAAATTCTTTGCAAATAATTGAATTTTAGAGAAGAATTGTATTACTTTTGAAAATAATTGAATTCATGTGAATAATTTTATTAATTTTGGCAAATAATTGAATTTCTGTGGAGAATTTTATTAAAAGTTATGAAAATAATTGAATTCTTGCAAAGATTTTTATTAATATTTGAAAAAAAATTTATTTTGCGTAAAAAATGCAATTGAATTTTGAAAATAATTGAATTTTTGCGAAGAATTTTATTAAAATTCCTTAAAATAATTAAACTTCCACGAAGAAAATTTTGTATTGAAAACAATTCAATTCTTATCATTAATTTAATCAAAATTTTTCAAAATAATTGAATTTCTTGAGAAAAATTTTAGTAATAATTGAAAATAATTGAATTCTTACGATAAATTTGATGAATTTTCGAAAATAATTGATGTCATGCGAAGAGTTCAATTATTTTTTGAAAATAATTCAATTCCTGTGAAGAATTTTATTAATTTATAGAAAAAAAATTACTGTCAAGAATTTTAAAGTTTTTAAAAATAATTAAATTCTTGTAAAGAATTTTATTAATTTTAAAAAATAATTGAATTCCTGTGAATAATTTTATTAATTTTTGCAGACAATTGTATGGAGAAAATAAGAAAACTTCATATCCTGAAATATTAAACTTTCAGTCATTTAAAAAATTAATACAGTACTTAATTATTTATTTTAGAAATTTTATTAATTTTAATCTTAAATTTTAAGGTTCGTTTTTCTAAATTCAAATTAATTATTTTAATTACGTGTACAATTTCGTCGTATTGATTTTGTCAATTGTTTCCAACAGAAAAAATGATTCTTATTGAGCAGATTTTCAAATGTGGATTAAAAAATATTGTCCATTTTTTGAAAATACTTTTAATTAAATTTAAATAATTTAAAAGAAAACTTTTAATTACTTTTAAATAATTAAAAAGAAAACCTTTAGAAAGTTTTTAAGTAATTAAAAGTTGAACTTATTGAAGGTGAAACTTGTCTTATTCATTTTTTTCCAGGTCAGTAAAGTTGAAAAAAGAAAATATAAAAAAACTCTTTGCTTAAATATGAAAAAATGGAAATATACAGAATTAGGAAATGAAAAATATACAACTTCGAACTTGTATAACAGCCTTTATTTAATTTATATTTAATATAATGCATTTATAATAACGTATTTCAGTAATATGCATTTTTATTTAACTGCGCATACTGACGATGAGTACGCCAATACGATATATTGAATCAATTATCTTTGTATTTTTTTCAATCTTCATATATTTTTTATATAATATATTAATTATATTTCTATATCATCGTGCCACTTATTGTTAAATTTCAATTTAGAGCTGTAAACTGGGCATTTTCGTAAATATATTATATTAATATTTTTTTTAATATAGATTCGCGTCTTGGCTTCGCAGCAATGGATTTTCAATAGAACATTTTTTGTTTTCGATCTACGAAAGATGTTACGCAAAAATATATTTTTTGTTACCATATTTTAATTGAATATCAGAATTGAAATCACTTTTTTTCATTTTTTCATTTCTTCATTTATAATTTAATATTTTTAGTGATTTTGGAATTGACACAATTTTTTGCTATAAAATCATTTTTTTGAATTGACAAAAGACAACACTATTTGATCAAGTTGATTCATTTTTCTTAATTAGAAGCCGAAGACTGAAGGAAAACCAATTGAATTTTTATTTAAAGGCGATATTTTGTTTCTCTCAATCCACTCACCAAAAGTGTTCTCTTAAGGATAATGTTTTTTTTCTTTGACCACGAATTGACAACATTGATACGTTCGAAAAAATGATACAATTATTACTTATACATATAATGATGTCGTACTTTAAATATATATAGGTATATATACACACGATATTTTTAAAATTCACTTGGAAGACAGAAGTTTATACAAAATTTTTCCCGATAATAGTGCAGGATTTGCAAAAATTTAATATATATATATATATGATGATTAGGCAAATTTTTCAATTAATATTAAAAATAAAGATTTTTTTTTTATTATATTCTTTCCTGCAATTTTCCGGAAATAATTTGTATACCATATATATTTATATATATATAACTTGCATCAAGCAAGTTTTATCTTTGATATGCGTAGATGTAAATGTATATCTCAATTCTCTTTTTTTTATATTGTACCTATAGAAAGATCACTTTACAAAAACTCTGACTCAAAACAATAACGTTATAAATATTTCTATATTTTTAACACTTTAAATTTGTCGTGTACTAGAAAAAAATTTCGTATTTGGTTTATACAACTTCAAATTAAATTAACTCTGCTGATATTAAAGTTTTTGGTATATCGAAATTTTGAATATTATGATCAAACTGTTTTTTATTAATTTATTTAATTATTCAATTTTTTTATTTCATTAATTTAATTGCGTAATTGATTAACTTAGTTACGTAATAGACTAATTGGATTGCGTAATTAATTAATTTAATTACGTACCTAATTTACTAATTTATTTACGAAATTAATTAAATTAATAAAAATCTGATAATATAGTAAATTAATTTAGTTACATAATAAACTAATTTGATTGCGTAATTAATAATAATAATAATCTGATAATGTAGTAAATTAATTTAGTTGATTATTTCGCTAATAAATATTTTAATTACTCAATTAAGTAAGATAGAAATTAAATTTTATCGGAATATTTACAATAATATACCTATAAAAAGAACCGTAGAATAATAATCTAATTCGTATAAAATATTAAAATAGAAGAGAATTGAATTTAATTAAAGAATTAGGTGCAGATATTTTATTATTCTTGAATAATAATTTTCGGATTGAAAAATTGAATTTTTGTTTAAAATGAATTAAGTTTTAAAATAACTATAATTTTTGTAATAATTTTAATTAATTCAATTTTGTAAAAGCACCAAATTCTTTAATATTGATTCGAGTTTTTCTTGATTTACATTTTATCAAGTTAAATAAGAATTGTAGGTCTTTGAGTAAATAATTTCAAAAATTCGTATGAAATGGAATTAGTCAATAATACACTGTTCTTGAATTTTTTCTATAAACGGTATTTTTTTTACTTAAAAAAAATATTGCTATGTATTTAATTAGTAAGAATTGATTTTTTTGTTTGGTAGAAAAAATGATAAATTAAAAATTGATGACAATATTGAATATATTCTAGATTTGAGTTAAGGGGAATTAAATATTAACTAGTTTTGAAATATATAATATTATCTAGAGAAAATTAGCTGCCTCGGAGGGCTTGTCATTTCATATCAATTATACACGCGGCGATTATATCAATCATTTTTACTCTCTTATATTCCTAACATTGTAGAAAACAGTTATTTCAAGATATTCTATATTTTTTTTTAACGACACAAACTTGATCTAAATATCGCTGTTTTTTCTTTTATAATCGAAATACGCATGAACTAATTGGTGCTCGTATTTTTTAAAAATTTTTTTTCTTTCTTTTTGAAAATTCTAGCCATACAACCATAAGAGTTTGCGGTTTACAAGGTCTCAAGCATTCGTAAAATATATAAACTTTTAGAGAAGACTTGAAACTCTTTGTAATCTTGTAAAGACAAACTTATTTTTATAAAGGGTTTTAAACTATCACTAGATTTTTAAGATGATTATAACATGATTAGATTTCAGATTTTCAATGACTGATAAAGTATTCGTTTAAAAAAATCTGTTTTCTCCTTTTTAAATTTTTGTTATACATACGAATCATAAGAATTTTTATATCTAATAATATTGATAATAATGGATTCGAGAAAACGAATTTAAATTACTTGAAAAGAAAAATTTATAAAGACTGATATGCTCTCATTTTGTGTGCGAAGATTTAATTTGAGAAAGAAATGAAAAGTTTAGTATTAGATTTATATTTTTTAAAATTACTGCTGGTGAGATAAATAGTCTCTTAACGTACTTTAGTGAACTTTTCAAGTTTCACATATTCTTTATTTTTATTACATAAAAGTCAGGACTTGATTCTCGATTTAATACACTTTAGCAGTCGAAAAACACCTCACCAATGAAAATTTAGGTCTTTTTCATCAGTAATTATAAAATTATTTGGGAGTTACCTAATTTTCAAAATCAAAAAGTAATATATGTTGATTCATGGAACTTTTATTCCTAAGCTTTCATTTGATTTCTTTTTTAAATTTATCCCTATTATTGAAATAAAATTTTTCGAAAAACTGTAGATCTCCGGAGAACTACTATATATGGATGAATTCTATTTTTTCTCTGGTAAAGCTGAATTATTTTCTTTATATTTAGTTATATTTCTATCTACCTTAATTTATCGGTGATCTAAAAGTTTGGAAGATAAAAGAAAAAGAAAAAGAAAAAGAAATTTTCAGAAAATTATAATAGAATTATTTCATGTAACAAAGATTTTGATAAAATACACCTAACTAGCGTTTCTATAATTTTTTTTGTTTGTTTCTCTAAAAACAAGCATTCATTTTTTATAGCCTTTCTCGTATAAAATTTTATACGTTATCAATGGACCTTTATATATTGAAAAAAATGAATAAAAATTATATTTTCCAGAGTTCTCTAAAAATTTACTCCATTGTGTCATACTTAACTTTTTTAACTACAAAATATCGATATCCAGCGTATCCAGTAACTGTGAGAAGAACAGCGGCTGCGAGAGTTGAACCCACTGCTATTGGTGCAGTTTCATCTTTCGAGACACGAGCATTTAATGTGTCGCAATTATATTCAGCTGCAAAATCATTCGTCTTAAACTTAAAAGGTTGTAATTTCATCGCCCTGAAAGAATATTACATATTAGTTACTAGATTGTATTCTTTCATTTTTTTATTTTGCTAAACATTTATTTTTCCTTCTCATTATATGAGAAGATTTTTTTCTTTTTGTTAAACTCTTTAGATCGCTGCGATAATTGAGGTGTATAGAATATCAACAAAATTTTATAGAGAAAATATGAAAAATTCTGTTTTTTTAATTTTTGGCTAAAGATTAATATTAATTGAATTGAAAATGAAAATCAGTTTTAGTTTAATTTTTGGTCTTTGAAATAATAATTTAGAAAATTTACGAAAAGGGGTATTTAATTTATAGATTTTTATGTTAAATGTTAAATGTTACCTTAAAAGAAGTTTAGCAGTCATTTTGCCGTAAGTTAAGGGAATAACTGTTTCTTGAGAACAAGAATAAGATTTTCCTACTGGAGTTGGGAAAAGCAAGGCAGTGTGCTTTTTGTCTGTGCTCAACCTTATAGTCTTATCTATAAAAAAATTATTTATTTTGCTTATTAAAAATATATTCTAAAATACCATTACAAGAAAATTTTAAATATATTTTAAACATTTTAAACATATTGGGAGAAATTAAAAAATATATCCATGATTATATTACAAAAAAGTGAACTATATTTTTAAATATAATAATATTAGTAAAGAAAGATGAGTTTAATTAAATTAAAATCATCCTTACAAAAAAATTAGTATTAAGAAAATTTATGCATTAATTAAAACCTACTTGGCTGATCGATATGCTCAAAATGTCTGTCACTCGTATTGAAGGTCAGCTCAATTTTATCGACATACCATCGTTCACGACCTGGTGTCTATAAAATAAAATATTGATTAATTAATTTTTTTTTGCCGGAAAATTAAATCAGATAATTAAATTATTAATATATTTCCGAATTTATTTATAAAAAGTTATTTTACCGAGAAGAAAAAAGTCCCAAAAAACAATATTTTTGGAATATTTTTTCCTGTTTGAAATCAAATTGAAATTGGAAAAAAATATTGAATTTATAACTTTTCTTTTTATTTTACAGGACATTATTGGAATTTTTAGTACCTTGGCAAAACTCCACGACAGGATAAATGTCTTCCATCTCAATGACATTTTTACCGTATTTTCATCATTACAATCGCCAGTTACTTCTGCATCTGGAGGTATGTACACACTTGCCACCTTGAAAAAAAGTAATAAGTTTTAAAATTATTTGTCAGTTTGAGAAAAATACTAATAGTTGAATATAAAAAAAGTTCTTTAGCAAAGAATTCACCGCTAAAAATAAAGCTATTTTGTCAGTTTAAAAAAAAATACTAATTGAAAATAAAAAAGTTCTTTAGCAAAAAATTTACCATCAACGAAAATGAATAATTCAAGAAAAGGAGGAATTGATAATTAAATCTATAGAAGAAAAGGAGGAATCGGTAAAAAAATCTAGAGGAATAGGAGAAATTGATAACAGAATCGAGAAAAAAGGAGAAGTTGATATAAAAGAATCTGGAAGAAAAGGAAAAGTTGATAAAAAAATTTAGAAGAGAAGGAGGAATCGATAACAGAATTCCATAAAAAATTAACGAAATGTTCACCTCTTCCTGTCCAATTTTGGTACGATAAGGAATATCGACTACAGCGTCCACTTGCAGAAGAATACATGCACGTCCATTGCTACTATTAACACGATAAAGTGGTTGTTCTTCGTTTATTATTCTTGGCGTTGTTGTTGATTTTGGTAGTAATGTCGTTGCAGCACTTGTCGCTGACGTTGACTTTAATAACTCCAAATTCTCCACTGGCTGTGATAAGTAAATTATTAACCTTCATTACAATAAAATCATCAAAGACAAATTATATTTCAGTATAAATATTTAATTAATTTATATTAATGTGTACAGAAGATTAGCGAAAAGGATGCAACCTGTTGTCTATGCACGCTCTCGAGAATAGAAACAATGACGTGCCAAGGGAATTGCATAATTTTCGGTAATTTCCGGCACTGGAAATTACATTAATATATTTTAATAATTCATGAATAACGATAAAAAATAATATAAAATTTAGATAAATTAGAAAAGAGGAAAAAAATCAAAAGGGGAAATTTTTTTTTTTAGTCAAAAGTAATAGATAAAAAGAGAAGACATTAAAAAGTTAAAAAAAACAAAAGAGAAAACATTAAAAGGTAAGAAATAAAAAAGAGAAAATATTAAAAAGTAGAAAATACAAAGAGAGAAAACGGTAAAATAAAATTCAGAGAGAGAGAGAGAGAGAGAGAGAGAGAGAGAGAGAGAGAAAACAAAGGAAAAGCACATAAAGTGAAATATAACAATCGATTACGTTTTTTAAATTATTTAAGCTCACCCAAGATGATTTCACTTTAGGAAGATTGTCCATGTCGATAATAACTTTACTTTTTCGGGTTGTTGTAAAGGGGCGATCATCTCTGCCTTGAGGGAGAGAAGTTGAACTGGGAATGCTGAAGACAGTTCCCAAAAGACACCCTATAAAATTTTTTTATTAATTTCTTTCGATTCTTTTTCAAAATTCCATTAATCTATTTGCCGAAAAAACATCACTGATGTACGAAAATATTTCAATATATAATAACGAAAAGTAGAAAAAAATGAGAATGTAATAAAATGAAAAATTTATTCAGAATCGAAAAATATAGACTATAAATAAATAATAACTTTGAAAAAGTAAAAAGTAAAATTAAACAAAGAAAAAAAAGGAATTAAATAGTTAGTATTAAAAACTAACATTACTTTGACTAATTTAGTTAAAAGATTCTAAAAAATTAAATTCACTTTAAAAGTTACAATTTCTGACCTACTTTATATACTCTACTCAAGAAAATTGTAATACAAACATAATTTTCGCTTTTTCTTTTCTCTTTTAAAGAATAGAAGAAAATTAGTGCAAAAGTTCGAAATACATTTTAAAATTTATTTTTGGAAAAGTAGATTAACTTTTCCAAAAATAAATTTTTCCCTTTAAAAATTGAAATTATTTCCCAAAAAATCAATTTAAAATTCTTTCAATTTGACTCAAGTCATTAAAATTAGCCTCTGTCAATATATTTTCGATCAATAATGTTTTGCTAAACTGACAAATTGTTTTCGTAAATTTGAAATAAAGGGAAAAATTTTCAGAACTAAGATTTAAAAAAAATATTTAGAAAAAGATAATTTATTAGATAATAGTATAAAATCTTCGATAATCTTTAATAATTGATAACACTTGTCTGGGTCTTTAAAGTAAAGAAAAAGAAATGTTACCATGTGTCAAAGTGAATCTAATTCGAAAAATGAAGAAAATAAATTTTTCCTTTGTTCTTTTTGGTTTATTTGGTATTTTTACCTTTTAATGAATAATATACATGGAGAATAGATAATTTATACATTGTTTACTTACACAGGTAAAAGGTCTCTTTGGAGAAGACGTGGATGGCCATTTTGGAAAATGTTGTTCAAGGTTTTTTGCGAGAAGAAAAAAGAGTGAAAAACGAAAATGGACAACGATGGTGGCGTCTCAAAGTTCGCCGAGGTTCTGAGGGTGCGAAGTGTGCTACGATCAATAAGGGATGTTTTCAGCATGCGCTTACTCCACGATAAAGCCAATCCTGTATTACATTTCTTTGTATATGACGTTGAGAGTGAAACATTCTTGTTTATCGGTGAGTAACACAAATACTCTTGGAAATTATTTCAAACTACGCCAACGCGCAGTGACATTTTCTTCATTATAAATTTTCATTCACGGGATCGAAACCTCGTGGAGGTGGTGAGAGAGAAAGAGAGATGATCTACGAAAATCGCAAATCTATCCGTATTGATAGAAAATTAAAATCCTATTGAAAGGTTGATCCAGAATTTTTGAAATCTAATCCACAAGAACTGAAATCCAAATAAGAAGAGAAAAACAAAGGAGATTAGTTTGAAAAATAAAAATTCAGAGGCTAATGATAATTAGACTCACGGCAATTAATTGTTGCTTTAGATTAGATCATTATTTCGTGTTTGTGTTTACACATTCACATTCAACCAATTTTCTTGTCACAATATTTAGATCGTTTGTTATAAATCAAGTTTATAAAAAGAAAATTTAATTTAGAAAATTGCACAATTTTTTAACTTTTAAATTTTAATTTATAATTGCCTTAATTTTTATATTGTGACCAACACGTTTTATTTAATTAAAAATTAATTATTATTGGACGGAAATCTTTTTAGTTACACAAATGAAATATTATATTAATAATTTTTATTTTAAACTAATTATTCTTCTAAACTAAATTCTTTATAAATTTGAATTAGTCATTTGAATCAATAATCAAAATTTGTCATTTAAAATAATTAAAGATTTGGTTAGAATTTCGAATTAAAAAAATTTCGAGTTTCTAGGTGATTTTCTATATATTTTTCAAATATATATATTCTTGATTTATAAAGAGGGATTTAACGTATTAGTGGAAAATTTACGATGAAAAATAGTTTTTCTTTTAAAAAAAGTACCAAAAGAAATTGTCCAGAACATCTTCGAGAACAATTTTCTAGATAATATTTTGCTGACGCATGAAAATGCAACAATTTAAAAACACCCACGCTTTACACTTTCGTCAGCAGTAATCGTATGTTGCTCTTTGAATAGTTTGAATACAGTTTATTAAAAGTGGAACTTAAGAATTATATAATGGGAAACTTTATTTTGTCACAAAAATCTTTAAGCAAAATTTTAATCTTTGAGAAAAATTTAAAAAGTATACAAAATAATTGTTTTATTCCTTTTTTTAACTTATTTAGAAAAAAGTTAGTTATTTAGTTCGAAAACAGAATTTAACTATTTTTTTTATTAACGGTTATATTAAATAAATAAATAGGTAAATAAAAGGGTTCAATTTTTTTCTACTTATTTTAATTAGTTAAAACATTAAATTAAATTAAAATTATTTAATTTATTTAATTATTAAATTTAACTTATTTTAATTAGTTCAGGTAATTAATTATTTTCTCAGTTTTTATTTATTCTAGTGATTTTAAGACAAAAAAAAGTTTTTTATAATATTTAATTTTCCCCATAGAAAATTTCTCTCGTTACTAAAAATATCCCTTGTTTTTTTTCTCATCACAAAGAACCTGTTGGGGGCGGATGTGAAGAATAGCCAATTTCAGTTTCATGTCCTTTTTCTGCAAGTTGCAATTTAAGTTTTACGTTTGTATTTCAAACATAGAAAATTACCAACATGTCCATTTGACAAAGAAATAAAAGACAAGAAATTTTATCTTTCAATATCTTTGAACTTTTAAAATTATTGTTTCTTTTGTATAAAAGTCTTCTTTTAAAATTATTTTTTGTAAATATTGTTTTTCGTTAAATAATTTTTTACAAAAAAGAAAAATTATTTTGTGAATATTGTTTTGTTTTGTAAAATAATTTTTTTTATAAAAGGAAAATTATTTTTTATAGAAAAAAACATTCCTTTTAGTGTTAAAATTAAAAAATATACTTTTTTAAAATTTATACGAATTTTGATTTTTAATCGAAGTTTGCTCAATTAATCAAACTAATTGAATTAGATGCGTGGGAAATAAATTTCCGCTATAATTAAAATAGAATTACGAATTTGAAAATGAAAAGTCAATTCTGTAAGTTGGGTTGCTATCCTAAGGTGTCGTCGGTAATAGTCGGTAAATAATATTCAATTGTTGAGTAAATAGTGCACTACTTTATCGACATATTTAAAGTGAAAACCGTAGATGTCAGTACGTGTGTAAAGAACAGTAAGTAATATTTAAATGCTGATAACTTTTTGCAAATTACTGGAACTTTCAACCATTTGCAAATAGTACCTCTCCGAGTCGATTTGAATTAAAACTAGACCCAATTATAGTTTAATTAATTTTAACGTTTTTATATAATTAACGTATATAAGCAAGTGTTTTTTCGGATTTATTGTCTACTGCCCGGTGTTTTATATCCGTTACTGACTTTTTGCTATTTACTAATTACTAATTACCGGTGTTAAAGAGAGGTTAATAATTGTTCTTTCATTTACGCGGAGATGTATTATTTAAATGTAAGAGTTCTTTATTTTATTATTTTCACAACTTCTATTAGCATAATTTCTTTTAACTTTTAGGTTAACTCTTCTTATCGAATTTTTCCTTCGCTTTTTAACAATAGAACTTTTATTTTTAATTTTTTTAAGAAATTGACCAATTCATTTCAATCTGCAAGGAGAATGTCGTTTGCAGAAGAGAAAAGTGAGTATAAACTTTGCCAAAATTATATGGAAATTAATTTGTAATTAAAAATTTTATTTATTTATTTATTTCAATCACAGCCCTTAATTTTAATTTCTATGGTGTTAAAATTGTTGAATGTTTTAATGTAATATGTTAAATTGATATTCTCCATTTGTTTTGTTTGTAGAAAAATTTCTAACAATGTCAACTGAAGAGAAACGACAACATTTCAACGGACAAATCGTGACATTGAATGAAGTTGAGACATGGCGTAAGTTTTGGGAAAATAACAAATCTAATATTGCGAAAACAAAGGAAGAAATTGAGCTGGTCGACGCTACATTGGCTGAGAAAATTTCTCTATGGCAAGGAGATATTACGTCATTAGAAATTGATGCTATTGTAAATGCAGCAAACTCGACACTTTTGGGTGGTGGAGGAGGTGACAGAATTTATTTTTATCATTGTTAATTAATTTTTAACTAATACAACATTTTGTTTATTAAAACAATTTTCCTTTTGATTTTCTTAATCAAATACCTTTGTACAAATTTAACTCTATTTTATTATTGATTATTTTACTATTTTTTGATTTTAAAGCCACATTTTATCTTTTTTTTTTTGTATTTTTGTATTTAATTAATTATCTTTTTAATTCAGTTGATGGAGCAATCCACAAAGCAGCAGGTCCAACTCTGAAAAAAGAATGTGCAACTTTGGGTGGATGTCGTGTTGGTGAAGCAAAAATCACCGGTGGTTATAAATTACCTGCTAAGCGTTAGTTTTATTTTACTAAATTTCATTTACATTGTGTTAACAAATTTCGAAGTTGGATTTAAATTTTTTTTCTTATTCTTTCAGATGTTATACACACAGTTGGGCCTCAGGGAGAAAAACCAGATAAATTGAAAGACTGTTACAAACACTCCTTGAAACTTATGAAAGAAAATGACTTACGTACCATTGCTTTTCCTTGCATTTCGACTGGAATTTACGGATATCCTCAAAGACCAGCTGCTAAAGTTGCTCTGGCTGCTGTTAAAAAATTCCTCATTGAACATAATGAGCATGTAAGTAGTTTAATTCTTTCTTTAATTTATTATTTTTCCTTTAATATAAATAAAAAATTTTAATTCTTGGAAATTACATTAATTTTTTTTATAATAAATTTAAAATTGAATTTTATTTATTTTATTTTTTAATGTATTATTATTTTTATTTTAAATAAAAAAAATTTATTTATTTAATAATAAAAATAAATAGTAAAACAATAATTAAATTAAAATTAACGTTCGTTGACAAAATTTTAGTCAATTACATTAATTTTATGTATTAATTCATAATAAATAATTTTTTTGACTTTAATACAATAAATTTATTTTATTTTTAAATTTGAAAAAAAGCTAAAGTGGCATTCCAGGAGAAATTTACTACTTTTCGGAGTACCCTCACCGATTTCTTTCAAACTTGGTAGTATTACATTTGTTGGTCTAAAGTTTCAGAAAATCAATTTTTTAAGTAAAATCAATTGTTTATTTAAAAGTTACAACAATTGCTCAAAATTGTTTAAATGCCCATATCTTTTAAACGGTTCAAGATAATTGAGTTTACTTTTTTGCTAAAAATTCATAAAGACGAGTCGCTTCAAAAATGTTATTAACATTTTTTTCTTATTTTGTTAAATAAAAAAGTTATTTAAATAAATAATATTAACTTTTGAGCCGGAATTCAAAATTAAATGACTTACGAACCAAAACATTCCTTTTTTTCACACTTTTATATTCCGAAGAAAAAAAGTTGCTAGAGTTTTTCAATAACTTATAATTTAAACAATGATTCGGTTGTTTACAATTATTTTGCAACTAAATGATCATCTGTTCTGTCCTGCGCGCGACTACTGCTACGTCACGTCCGTCTGTCTCAGAATATATTTTTGACATGATGAAACGGACTATATTTATTGGCCCTCATATAGGGGGGTCAGAGTAGTGGAGTTTTTCTCTCCCAACTGGTTACAGCGCCACTTTAGATAAAATGTAGAATTATAATTTATCGTCTGCAATATGTTTGTTTATGACATGACAGCTGAATGAATCGGGTTATATTAAAAGTGTGAACGAGTTTTGTGACTAAAATTGGAAACATAAATGAAAAGTTAGTATAAAATAATAAATTCATGAGTAATTAATATTGTGTCAATATAAAAATTCATTCTTGCTGTCATTTTACTTCAAAAACATTGAGGTTATATTTGTGTTTTTCTCGCTAAATCACGTGACCAAATAGTTGAAAAATTTGGCACTGTAAGCGCTGTAAACAGTTGGGAGAGAAAAAACCGCACTACTCTGACCCCCCATTTTGGTGTCAACTTTTTCCGCTATATATTATAGGCGTTTCATCTCCTTATCCTAATGATTTTTGACAAGTGTGGAAAAATTGAGGTTATGTTTAATCAAAACAACGCATTTCAATCTTTTTAAAGTTTTAGGATATCAGAATATCAATATCCTGATTTAACTTTTTTTCCATGACTGCTAAAAACTTTAAAAAGATTGAAATGCGTTGTTTTGATTAAACATAACCTCAATTTTTCCACGCTTGTCAAAAATATATTCTGAGACAGACGGACGTGACGTAGCAGTAGTCGCGCGCAGGACAGAACAGATGATCATTTAGTTGCAAAATAATTGTAAACAACCGAATCATTGTTTAAATTATAAGTTATTGAAAAACTCTAGCAACTTTTTTTCTTCGGAATATAAAAGTGTGAAAAAAAGGAATGTTTTGGTTCGTAAGTCATTTAATTTTGAATTCCGGCTCAAAAGTTAATATTATTTATTTAAATAACTTTTTTATTTAACAAAATAAGAAAAAAATGTTAATAACATTTTTGAAGCGTCTCGTCTTTATGAATTTTTAGCAAAAAAGTAAACTCAATTATCTTGAACCGTTTAAAAGATATGGGCATTTAAACAATTTTGAGCAATTGTTGTAACTTTTAAATAAACAATTGATTTTACTTAAAAAATTGATTTTCTGAAACTTTAGACCAACAAATGTAATACTACCAAGTTTGAAAGAAATCGGTAAGGGTACTCCGAAAAGTAGTAAATTTCTCCTGGAATGCCACTAAAATATTTTTTTTATTTATTTTGACGTTTACATTGGAAATTGGCTTTTTAAATTATTTTTTATTAATATTTTCTATTAATAACTATAATTAATTTTTTTATATTTATTATTTTATTTATATTTTCATTTATATTTAATTTAATTATATTAATTAATTAATATTTGTTTCTTCGATTAATAAAATACGTATTTAAATATTTATTAATATTTACTTTATTATAACACACTATTTAATTTTATAAGAATATAATATTTAATTAGTAAGTTAATAAATTTAATTTCAATTAATAAATACTTGTTTAGTTATTTAATTTATTAAGAATATAAATTAAAATCAAATAATAAACAAAAACAAATGTTTTGTTAATTTAATTCAATTAAACTAAATTAATATTAAAAAAACTAAGTTTTATTATTTTTAATTTCATTTTCAGATTGACAGAATTATTTTTTGCGTTTTTCTTCCTGATGATAAGGAATACTACATGGATTTGTTGCAGAAATATTTTGGACTCGAATAAGAAATATAAAAATTAAATAAAAAACAGTTTCGTAAGTTTTGTTGGTTGCAGCATTAATTTTTAAGACTATCATGTGTCATATTTATTCCAGAGAAACAAAAAGAAAATAATAACTAAATTTTTCTAAATAATTTGTGTATTTTTTCTGTCCTTTATTTCAGACTCAGACAATCCGTGTTTTAATTTAATAAAAAAAATAAAATTGCTGAAAAGATTTATTGATATTAATAATAAATAAACATAAAGTAGTTTTGAATGCTTTAAAAATTGGCGCGCAAAATTTAGATTGGCCGCCTGTTTGCGACTGCAGCGCTCGAGCTTGAAGGGTTCGCCGCATCTTCTATGCCGACGGCGTCGCCATCTTGAAATATTGAGTGTATGTAGTAAAAAGGTGGGGGACGGTTGTTAATGTGGTTATTTCGATCAGAAAATCTGTCACAAATGGGTAACTATTCTTAATATTTTAACAAGTGTTAAGGTGAATCTTTGAATAGAGTCTCGAGGACGCGGTGAGTCGTTTTAATTCGTGAATAAAGTTAGTCCTGTGTCAACGGAGGTCTCGTTTTCGTGGTGAATATATATTGGCGGTGGGGCCTTTTAATTGTTTTCCGGGCCCCGCACCGAGAAGATATGCAACATTGTTATAATCAAGTGTATCTAACAATAGAGGAACGCGCGAGTTCGCGTTGTTCTTGTCGCCGCCTTCGCGTCAACGCGTGAAAAAGCCGCTCCGCGTATTGTGCGGCTCGGCCGTGAGGATTATATTTTAGCCTCGATTTCACGGACAGACGAGAACGTATCGAGTCCCGTAATCCTGAATGGCCGCCGCTTTCTAGGTTACTGACAAACATCCAAGTTTTCAACTCAGCCTCCCGATGTTGTTCAACTTCGGGGTTCGCGATTACCGTGTCACGGGTATCGGCAATTGTCCTACTCGAATTTGTTGCCTCTTTCGACACCTATGTACAAAACGCTGCGTTCCCCAGCCCTTGCCGTAAGCTACTCCGCTGATTCCTTCTATCTTGTGTAAATTGTCTGCTTCTTTTTCCACCCCGAAATATTCTTAACTTGTTGACGAGAGAGTAGACCCCTTTTTTTGCTTGTTAAAAAAACAACGTGCATGTTTCGTTTTAATTCGTGTGTGTATGTGTGTATATTTTTATTACCGTGTGTGCTTCTCTGCATAGTTCTCTGTTCATATGAATGTGCGTGTGTGGTAAGTACCAAAAAAGGGGTGGGGGTACACCTCGCGAGCGACAAGTTCTCGGCTTCTGTTTCTGTCACTGCCACCCTCTTTCTTTCCTACCCACAAAGTTTTTTCTCTTCTTTCTAAAATTACATTTCGATTTTCTTTCTTCTTTTTTTTTCTTTTTTCTTTTCATTTGTAGTCTTTCTTTCTTCTAAATGTGAGTTATTAATGCCTGCTCACGTAACCTTAAAATCACGCTCTTGAAGTGAAAAAAAACAACTTTTACCCCTGAAATGGAGTAATTTTTAGTCTTTTCCAGTGAGAGAGAAAATCTGCCTTCCTTGTAAGGAGAATTGTTTTTCCACAATTCCAAGTTCTCGACTTCTCAAACACGACACTTTCACAAACATTAGGAAATATTTATTTTTCTGTCAATTTCGTTATATTAGTGCATTCCATCTCATTTCTATTGTAGAATTTCTTTTAATATTGCAATTTTGTATAAAATATTTTTTCATGAAATTTTATTTCGATTTTGTAAGAAATGGACTTTTCCAATATAACCTCAAAATTGGTTTTCATTTGCAATTTTCAGATGAATGTAGTCGAGATTTCTTTTTCAATATCGAGTCTGTAAATGGTTTAACCGAAATGTTAATGTCTCAAGTGAAATTAATATTATATAAAAACTAATTTCTTTTGCAACTATGCTTTGTGTGTCCAACTTTGGTCATTGCAGAAATTATACAAGTACATCTAAAAATATCCCATAATGACCTACTTTCTCAATAAGCAGGAATTAATTATGCACTTGGGATTGTTAACTCACTAAAGTAATCAAAGTTTTGATTTCGGCTTATTACTTCGTTATTACAACTGTAATTAGTCAGTTGATATTTCATTAATAAGAAATTAGGCTTTTGTCAGTTTAGAAATCTTAAAAAAAAAATTTGGCGAATTCCCACAATTTTATTGTGTTTATAATTATTATTGTTGTTATTGGATTTTACTTTGAACTTTATTATTTAATATCGATTTCAGAATTGAAATATTTATTTAAATAGTTTCTATTGCTTTCGATTTAAAAGTTTCGCGTTTTGAAAGATAAATTTTAAACTTGGTCTCGTTCGCATGTTCAACTTTCGGTGCTTCGTTTTTTTTACGGTGGACATTATATTCGGCCCAAGGAATAAAATAGACCTTGGGACACATGATTCTTTCGACCACATGTCACACACCTGTTACATCGTAGGGTTCCCTCGATTCAATAATTACTTTGAGAAAAAAAACGTACTTTTTCGTATCTTTTGTGCCATTTTATATTTATTTGAACACAGGCGAAAATTTGCTAATTTAATTCATACTCTTCTGCTATTTTTTACTATAAGTATTATTATCAGTATATGTATTATTATTATTAGTATTATCATCATTATTTTTATTATTTTCAGGGTGGCAACATGTCAGAAAAGTCAGGGAAATGACAAGAAAAAAATTTTTTGTCAGGAAAATTAATAGACTTGAGACTTTTTTCGACTTACTTTCAAAAATTGGACTTTTTCGACTTTTCTTCTAAATATTGCAACAAAATACCACATATTTTAGTATAAAATGCAACTTATGTCGATTTTTATATTGAAAAAAATAACTAACTAAATCTTTCAAAAATAATTTTTGAATCATTTTTTAAGATAATTAACTTTTTCAAAATATATCTATAATAAAAATGTTTTTGAAAAATTGAAATTTTGTAAAATTTAATTGAAGATAATTAATTTTTTTCAAGTATTTTGTTACAATTTTTGAAGAATTTTAATTGCAAATTTTGAAAATAATTGAATTATCAAAAATATTCAATTATCTTCGAATAAAGTAAATAAAAATTTACTTTTTTATACTTATTAAAATTTCGGAGAAATCATTGTCAACTTTTACAACTAAAATTCTTCAAAAATTTGATTATTTTTATTTACAATTTTCAAAAATTTTTTTATTTATAATTTTTAAAAATTATTAAATTACATTAATTTTACTCATTTTCCGTAAACTTTTATATTTTCCTGTAAAAAGAATTTTATCAGGGAAATTGATAAATTGAAACTTGTGACAACCCTGTTATTATTATTTTTATTATTTGTATTACTAATTATTGGTACTATAATAAAATTATTGTTAGGTTCTTATTGAGTTGAAATAATTAATTATTATTGTTTCTTTTCATTCTTTTAATTTATTTTATTATTGCTATTATTAATATTGAGTTACATATTTTGAATTTTTTATTATTTCATTTATTTAGAATTTCGAATTATTTTGAATGCGGGACAGAGTTATAAAAGATGTTTATAATTTACTTTAATGAAATCGCAAAAAATAGTATTTTAATAAATAATTGAATACACACATGACAGTTTATGATAACAAGGCCATGTATAAAAGATTAGTGTGTGTTAATAACATTTCACGATTACCAAGATTTAACAAATTAGTGTATAATTTTTTTTCCGTATCAATATAACAACACGCCTGTCTCTTAATTAAAATCTGAGGGGATATTTAGATGCTTTTTATTTCCTGATAATTATTAGTAATGGATTTTAAGAGTTAGAAGGCGGGCGTGCCAGAATGATACCAAAATGCTCAGGGCTTTGCTTGGCTTGACCTCCTTTTGATAATGTTTCCGCATGCGCGTTTTAATGCATTTTGGCTTCTCATATACATAAATGCACTAGAAAACTTTATCCCTAGGTCCACTTTTTATTGTCCTTTTAATTTTTATATTCATATCAATTAATATTAATCTAATTTGAATATTAATTAATACCAATTTTAATATTAATATTAATTTCATTTCATTTGCTCAAAAAGAAAAATAAAGAAAATAAATTCAAAAATGTTTGGAAAAATTTGAATGAGATAAAAATTAATTATAAAAAATGTACATAAAAAGAAAAATAAAAAAAAAATTTGTTCAAAAAGAAAAATGGAAAAAAAATTCAAGAATGTTTGGGAAAACTTAAATGAGATGAAAATTAATTTAAATAAATTTATTCAAATAAGAGAAAAATGAAAAAAAATTCAAAAATGTTTAGGTAAAAATTTGAATGAGATAAAAATTAATTAAAATAACTATTTGTTGTTGGGGGCAAAAAATTTGTTTCATAAATGTTTAAATTTGTGATTTATTTAATTCTAATTTTTAAATTATTCAAATTTATTCCCATACCTAATATGAATTATTAGAGAAAAAAATTTTTCTCGTTTTCTTTTTTTGCGCTGAAAAATATTGTTTATTGTTGTAAATGTATATTTGTTTTATCTTGGCAATTGTAGAAATTAATTGGAAATCTTGATAACTATTATGTAACAGGAATATACTGTTTTTTATTTGAAATATCTATAAACTACTTGAAGAAGCTTCCTTGAGAATTATTAACGCGGAAATATTTCTTTGATTGCAATTATTTTAGTTTTTTGAAAAATTTTTTTTCTTTATTCTTTTGAATTTTTTTTTTTTTTTTTTTGAAGGATAGTATATGTTATAGTACTATGCGTGCATCAGTGACCCCTATTGAAGTAATTTAGTGATTTAGATTCCAGTTTAAGGAAGCACGTTGACTTTCGCTTAATTGGCGACTTTAACTCAGTTTATATTGCATTATGAGCACTCACATTTCAAACTTGTATCTATTGAATTATTTATCTTGTTCTTTATTATTGTGATGTAATATTTTTTATTCCCTTTTGTCGAAATATATTTTGAATATTTTTTAAGGTAATAATACAAGGACAACAATTTATTTGATTCAAATAAAGATTAGGGTTTATTAAATTAATATTTACTAGAATCAAATAATTTTTATTTTAATCGAATAAATTGTATTTGCTTCTAATATTGAAATTATCCATTCAAATGATATTTTTTTGATTTAAATCATTTAA